CTATAAATGTCCCCCTTGATACTGGTTTTACTGTATCCCATAAAATTTTGGTATTTTGTGTCTTCCATTTGTCTCAAGATATTTTTTAAATTTCCTTTTCAATTTCTTTTTCAACTCATTGGTTGTTTAATTTCCTTATATTTCTGAATGTTGTAGTTTTTGTTTTGCTTTTGATTTCTGAGTTTATTCCACTGTGGTGGGAAAGATACTTGATATGATTTCTGTCTTCTTAAATTTAAGACCTGTTTTGTGACCTAACATGTGATCGGTCTTAGAGAGTGATCTGAATGTGTTGAGAAGAATGTGTATTCTGTTCTGCTGCTATAGGGTGGAACGTTCTGTATATATCTGTTAGGTCCATTTGGTCTGTGGTGTTTAAGTCCTCTTTCCTTCCAGATTTTCTGTCTGGATGTTCTGTATTCATTATTGAAAATGAAGTATTGAAGTCATTGTATTGCTGTTTATTTCTTCCTTCACTTCTTTCAGTGGTTGCTTTATATATTTAGATGCTCTGATGTTGGGTACATATATATTTATCATTGTTATATCTTCTTGGTGTATTGACCCTTTTATCATTGTCTCTTGTGACAGTTTTTGACGTAAAGTCTGTTTTGTCTGATACAAGGTTAGTCCCCTTCCCCCTGCTCTCTTTTGGTTACTATTTACCTGGAATATCTTTTTCCATTCCTTCACTTTCAGCCTTTGTGTGTCCTTAAATCTAAATTGAGTCTCTTGTAACAGCATGTAGTGGGATCTTGGTTGTTATTATTTTTTTTAAATACATTCAGCTTCTCTATGTCTTTTAGGGAATTGAATCCGTTTACATTTAAAGTACTTATTGATAGGGTAGGATTTACCGTTGCCATCTTGTTCATTGTTTTTCTGAGTGATTTTTAGGTCTTTTTCATTCTTTTCCTCTCTTGCTGTCTTCCTTTGTGTTCCCTTGTTTTTATATAGTGACATGCTTTGATTTCTTTCTCATTCTTTTGCATATCTTCCATAGGTATTTTCGTTGTGGTCACCATGGGACTTACATAAAAGATCTTATAGCGATCTATGTTAAGCTGATAACAACTTCAGTCACATACAAAAACTATGTTTTTGCTTCTCCCTGGCCCCACCCTCACCCCAGCACTTGAACTCAAATAGATCATTTTAGTTTTTTATACATAAGGGGTTTTTTTTCTGTAAAAATAGGGATAGTAATCTATTCTCTAAAAAAATCTGTTCTGTTAACCCAGGGGTTCTCAAAGTACGGTTTGCATGCCCATAGAGGGTCCCTAGAGATTTTTTCAACAGGGTCCATTTAGTCAAAACTGTTTCCATAATTCTGAGATGGTATTTGTCTTTTTCACCGTGTTGACATTTGTAATGATGGGGCAAAGGCAACTGGGAAAACCTGCTGGCGCTGGGCCAAATTGTACTAATGGTCATTTTGTGCTGCTACATACTTCCAGTGCAACTAAGTGCCAGTTTTACTTAAAGCTGTCTTTGGGGAAGTAGATAATTAATTTTGTTAAATCTAAACCCTTGGGTATATGGGTTGTTTTTTTTTAAGATACAAATTTTATTTTATTTTATTTTTAATTTTCTTATTTAAAGTCCAGTTTGTCGGGCACATGGGTGGCTCATTCAGTTAAGTGTCTGCCTTAGGCTCAGGTCATGATCCCAGGGTCCTGGGATCGAGCCCCATGTCGGGCTCTCTGCTCAGCGGGAGCCTGTTTCTCCCTCTCCCTGCCACTCCCCCTGCTTGTACTCTCTCTCTGTCAAATAATAAAATATTTAAAAAGTAATAATAAAATCCAGTTAGTTAACATACAATGTAATATTATTTTCAGATGTACAGTATAGTGATCAACATTCCATATAACACCCAGTGCTCATAGCATGGGTATGTGGTTTTTTAAGATGTGTGATGAAATGGGAAGTATGCAGAAGCACTTCTGCATACTCAAGTATACTACTTGTTTTAAGGAAAAGTACATGTGTATTTGACTGCTTTTGTGAACTCAATTAGCTGCTTTTTTTTTTTTTTTTGAAGATTTTATTTATTTGAGAGAGAGAGCACGAACAGGAGGGAGAAGGAGAGAGAATCTGAAGCAGATTCCATGCTGAGCAAAGAGTCTGACACGGGGTTTGATCTCACAACCCTGAGATCATGATCTGAATTGAAACCAAGAGTCAGACACTCAGCTGACTGAACCACCCAGGTGTGCCCCTCAATTAGCTGCTTTTTAAATGAAATACCATTTTTACTCCAAAGAATGACTGTGGTTACACAGACATGGGTATTTGCCAGGTGTTTTCTTGGAAATGAATGAAGTGAGCTTGTCATTTCATGGAAAACAGCCGACAGTATTTATTGCCCATGGTAAAATGTAAGCTTTTCAAGTGAAAATTAGAATTTTGGGAAACTTGTATTCACCACCCTGTGCTTTGGCAGCTTTAAAGAGTGTTCTGATAAGGTGATTGGTGATATTAATGTGATTTCCTTTTTTACATTATATGATGCAGTGTATCAACATTTGGAAGGTCTGCATAAGCCAGTGAACCAGTATTTTCCAAAATATTAAAAAATACATGATGTCATAAAATCATGAGTAAAAAGATCTACTTACCATGGGAGATAGACCATTGGATTTTAATGTAACAGACAAGTTCACTGATCTGGTTTGCCCTTCCACATTCTAACTAACCTTTAAGAAACTACCACTTGTCAAGTTTTGGTGTAGTATCAAAGAAGAATATCTTCACAGTGATTTCAAAAAGCTGTTAAAATACTCCTTTTCCCATCTCTGCATGTCTGAGGCCAGATTTTCTTAATATAGATAAAAGAAAATCATTTCTCCATTCACATTTCTGACATGTGTGGGTTTTCCACACCAAGCAATTCTCCAGTTCTCTGTGGGGTCCTACAGTTTAGTTCATTCTGGCACTAACTACCCAGAGTTAGTGCTGACCTCACAGGTTAAGGGCTCAGTCCCACAAGATTGGGCCCCCCCCCCCATTTCAGATGCCAGCTGCAAGTTTCAAGTTACCACCTGTACTTCTGGCCAACCAGCTATATAAATCTGGGGTTTCCACAACCTCTCCTCATGTTCAGTAATCTTTTATAATAGCTCACAGAACCTAGGGAACCCTTTACTGGTTTATTATAAAGTACATTATAAAGCATACAGATGAACCACCAAGTGAAGAGGTACAGAGGGCAAGGTCAAGAAGGATCCCAAGGGCACCTGGGTGGTTCATTCGTTAAGCATCTGCCTTCGGCTCAGGTCATGATCCCAGGCTCCTGGAATCGAGCCCCACATCGGGCTCCCCACTCCCCTGCTTCTCCCTCTCCCACTCCCCCTGCTTGTGTTCCCTCTCTCGCTGTGTCTCTGTCAAATAAATAAATAAAATCTTAAAAAAAAAAAAAAGCTGAAATAACATTTAAAAAAAAAAACATGGATTTAAAAAAGAAGAAGGATCCCAAGTGCAGGAGCCCCTGTTTTTGTGGGGTTGGGGTGTGCCACCCTTCCAGCAAATGGATGCATTCACCAACCCAGAAGTTCTCTGAACCACTTCATTCAGGGGTTTTATGGTTCTATAACATGGGTGGGATTGGTTAAATTATTGGCCATTGGTGATTAACTTAATGATCCCCAGCCCTTCTACCCTCCCTGGAGGATGGGAAATGGGGCTGAAAGTTCCAATGCTGTAATCACATGGTTGGTTCCTCTGGCAGCCAGCCCCATTCTGCAAGTCACCTCAACCATAAACTTCCCTATGATTGAAAGAGGCTTATTATTAATAACAAAATATGCTTCTCCCACCTCTACCACTCAGGAAATTCCAGGGGTTTTAGAAAAGCTCTCTGCCAGCAGCAAGGATGAAGACTATATGTATGTATGTGTGTAAATATATATATACATATATTTATTATATCACTATCAAAATAGACTTCAGCCAACACAAAATAGCACAGCAGATTGAATGCCAAAGCAGATATGAAATCATAGCAGTTTCGTATCAAGACAGAGTGTTGCAAAAAAATGGAAAATAATGCCCTCTTCTCAGTAATTTTTTTCAGTTTGGAAAATCGTTTTTTTCCATAAAAAAATGTATTTAACATATAAAAGATTTACTGTTAACTTTAACTGAGTCAGTAATTTTTCTTGTTTCTTTATTTCTAATACCTTAATATCTATAGATAAAACTCCCTGGCAGGAAGCTGAGGTCTAAGAGGAGACTGGTCTGAATTTACAGTTTGACAAAAGTTCTTTAGGTTCCTCAGTAATTTAGGGTTGCAAAGAAGTCCTGAAACTAAAAAGTTTGAGATTCATTGTTTTAACCTTCTAAGGTTGTTGAAAGTTAAACAGATGTATTCATAAACGTGAAATAGTTTTGTAAAATATTTTCAGTGTAGGTTTATAAATATTTTTTTAAAAAGATTTTATTTATTTAATTGACAGAGAGGGAGAGACAGCGAGAGAGGGAACACAAGCAGGGGGAGTGGGAGAGGGAGAAGCAGGCTTCCCGCCGAGCAGGGAGCCCGATGCGGGGCTCAATCCCAGGACCCTGGGATCATGACCTGAGCCGAAGGCAGTTGCTTAACCAACTGAGCCACACCGAAGCACCCCAATATTTTTTTATTTTTAACATCCCTTGCTGTTACATTGCTGTGCAAGTCCCTCAAGTTGAGACTTTGGAGAAGAGACATGGAAAGAGAACATGCAGAAGTAATTGCTATTACGAAGCTCATTAGTTTAGATGGGGAGTGGCAGGGGGGGATTCACATGGAACTCTGTTCCACAAACCAAACAGTGAAAATGTAACATGCTGGAGGCTGTTTTGTCCTAAATACGTTGTTATATATATTTATATCTGTAATACACGTATATGTATTTGTGTGTGTGTGCTTGGTCGTACCACAAACAGCTCTGCTTTTCATGATTCTAGTCCATTATTCGTCCAAGTTGCTCTTTAAATTTTGAAGTTGTCCCCTTCTTCCCTTGCAGGTATAGAACAAGATGCAGTGAATACTTTTACCAAATATATATCTCCAGATGCTGCTAAACCAATACCAATTACAGAAGCAATGAGAAATGACATCATAGGTAAGCAGTCCTTGAAGCTATGGCAAAAAAAAATAATAATAATGCATGTTTTTGGTTATTAGCTAAGAGATTTTTTATGAACATGGAATTCAACATATCCCTTCCTAGTCTGTTTTCAGAGCACTTTATTATATGAACTGTATCTCACTTGAAATTTTCCTGTCTTATATGTTGGACCCGAATTCTTAGACTTTGACTCAGATAACAACAGCGGCAAGGAAACAATAATAGCACACATTCATTGAGTGCTCACTGTGGCTCAGACAGCATTGTAGGCGCTTTCCATGGATAAACTCTAATTTTCTAAAGAAACTTGTAACATAAATATAGTTACTGTTTTTTAAATGAGGCCTCAGAAGCACAAAGAGGGTAAATAATTTGCCCAAAGTAACACAACTCAGACACGCAGAGTCAGGATTTGAAAATAGACGCCTACACATTAACTAGTATGTTACTTGGCAGTGTTTTTCAAACTGTAAATTCAGACCAGTCTCCTCTTAGACCTCAGCTTCCTGCCAAAAAAAAAAGACTAGACCAGAAAAATTGAAGTGCTCAGTAATAAGGGCAAACATCATTTCAGAACATTGTTTTCATATACGTAGGTCATAGTAAGAAAAAAATTGAAAGTTTTTGCTGTGTTGTATCAGGACCTTAGGTGCACCTGTAATTACAGATGACAGTGGTTTGTTTGTTGATTAAATAAATATTTATTATATTCCCATCAAGTCCTAGGACTGAGTTTTGTATTTTTATTACAGGGACTTTGTATTTTTGATTTATGAAATAAATCATGTTATTTTGCATGTTTTTCTGCTCCTCGCTGATTCTTCCCAGCGTGGGGCTCTTTAAATCTTTACCATAGATACTTTGACTCGCTCATCACTGGACACAGTAAAACCTGTCTGAGCTGTGGTTCTTAAATTGGCCCACCATACTTTCCAGTGAACAACTGTTGGCTATTTTGGGGCCCATCAGATACTGGCCCCATTGTTCTCCTTTTCTTTCTTCCACACAGACGCCTATAACATGTAGGTCTTGTGGCTGGTGGTGGTTTGTCCCCATTTGCTTGTATTTTGGGTTTTCACCCTGTTTTGTTGCAAATGTTGTCATTGGATTTTGGCTTTTCTATGTAGTTCCTCTATTTTTATGTGGGAATTTGTTGCTGCCATCTTCCAGACCTCTAGACCAACATTTCCTGTATAATAATACAACTAGGGTGTCCTAACTGATTACAGTTTGGCTATTTGAGGAATTGGTTAGCTAGTGATTCCTTTGAGGATTTGTTTGTACCAGTGAATAACCAAACTGTCTGGGGTAGGGGAGAAAGGGAGATTTTTGAGCCAAATAAATTATATTTAAAATGAAATATCAGGGGTGCCTGGGTGGCTCAGTCAGTTAAGCATCTGCCTTCAGCTCAGGTCATGATCCTAGGGTCCTGGGATTGAGTCCCACGTTGGGCTCCCTGCTCAGCGGGGAGCCTGCTGCTCCCCCTGCTTGTGCTCTCTCTCTCTCTGTATCTTTTTCTCTCTCTGACAAATAAATAAACCAAAAAAAAAAATATATCACTTCAGTTCTTTTTTTCCTTTTCTTAAACTTTATCAAATTAATGGTATAATCCCATGAGGGGAAAAAAATCTTTGGAAGTATAAGTTGATAACATTTAGTGATTAAGGGATCTGAGAAAGTTAAAATGTTAATTACCTGTATGTTTTTAGACCAGTCATTTTTCCTCTTTGAGCCTCATTCTTCTTAATCCTACAGCATATCCTTCTCTTTCAGTTGGAATATTCTAATACAGCTGTACTTCAAATATGTTACAGTTGGAAGAAGTCTTCACTTGAGCTGTTACTGTGTATCCCACCTGCCTAGTTTTGTTGTAAATGTTATCCATGGGTTTTGGGTGTTGCTGTCTAATTACTTCCTTTTTATATGGAGATTCAGAATAACCCAAAAACTATGCTTCTACTGCCTCCTTCATCTTCTGCAAATCCTTGAAGTGGTAGAATTTTAAAAATATTTCGAAGGTACAGCTGATAGTATTTGCTGATGATTTGAAAGTGAGTGGTGTGAGAGGGAAAAAGGAATCAAGCATGACTTCATTTTTTTGTAAACCTGAATAACTGGGAGAGTGAAATTGCCATTTATAAGATCGAGGAGATTATAGGAGTAATAGCTTAAGGGAAAAATCAGGAGTTTGGGTTTATAGGCACCCAAATGGTGAATGTCAAGTATGCAGTTGGATATCTGTGCTAGGAGTTGATGAGAGAGGGTTAGGTTGGAGATATGTTTGGAAGTTATCAGCATATAGATGGGTTTAAAGCCATGGTTAACATTATCCTCGGAGTGAGTATGGTGAGTGAAGACAAGAGGTCTAAGGACTGTGTCTTGGGGCAGGCCTAACATTCACAAGTCTGGTGGGTGGGGCAGGGAGAACCAGCAAAGGAGACTCAGGAGTAGCAGCCCATAAAGTTGGCTCTGCTATATGAACTATGTCTTAGGAGAGTAGTTCTTTCTGGAAGCCAAGTGAAAAAGTGTTTCTGGGAGTCAGGGAATGATCAGAGGTGTGTTAAATCCTGCTGAGAGGTTAAGTAAGATGAATACTAGGAATGGAATGGACTTGCCAACCTTGTGGACAACTGGTCCATCGGTTATCTTAATTTCATTGGACCTCCGGAGACAGAAACTTAACCAGAGGAGTCTTAGAATGGGAGGCGGAGTGGAGACAGTAGGTATGAGCAACTCTTAGGAGGCATTTTGCTCTAAAGATGAGCTGGAAGGGGATGTTAAATCAAGGGACAGTGTTTTTTGTTTTGTTTTTGTGGTGATGTGTTATAAGCATATAATATAGGTATAACATCCAAACAAGTATATATGTATAGCACAGACTATGTAGCTGGTGAGTATGAGGCAGATGTGGTGGGAAGTGATGGAAATAAGTTTCTGATTGCTTCTATTTTCTTAATGAAGTAGGAAGCAAAGTCATCAGCAGAGAGAGTAGAAGAGGCGTTAAAGTGTTCAAAGAGAGGAAATGTTGTGTTGTGTGTTGTCTGGCAGAGTACGAGAGTAAATGGACCAAGAAACTGTAGTAAGATCCTTGGGTTTTATTAAGGTCCCACTAAGGTCGTGAGCTTAAAGTGAAACCAGCCATCGTGGGTGAATGGTTTTTTCCAGCCGTATTTAATAGCTGGCTAAACAGCTTACTAATTTGCTGCAGTTTCCTTAGGTAATTCCTAATTTTTGCACATTTCATGTTTCTACCAAATAACATTTTGGTAAACTTTTTTACAGATAAGCCTTTTACAAATCCATAACTCTTTAGGTTGCAATCTTAGAAATAGAATTGCTGGGGCGCCTGGGTGGCTCAGTGGTTAAGCATCTGCCTTCGGCTCGGGTCGTGATCCCAGGGTCCTGGGATTGAGCCCCACATTGGGCTCCCTGCTCAGCGGGAAGCCTGCTTCTCTCTCTCCCACTCCCCCTGCTTGTGTCGCCCCTCTCGCTTTGTCTCTCTCTGTCAAATAAATAAATAAAATCTTTAAAAAAAAAAAAAAAGAATTGCTGATTGAACGGGCATGTTTATTTTTAAAGCTTATGCTATAAACTACCAAAATGCTCTCCAGAAAAGAATATACCAGTATATTCTCACTAACACTAGTGTCAGTTTTCCCATGTCCTTGCCCAAACAAAGCAGTGCAGTGTTAAACAAACATATGCACTGTTATAACAATTTTTGCCAATTTACTAGGCAAAAGGTAGGGTGTCTCCTTATTCTAACTTGTGGTTCTATTTATTTGATTGCTAGTGAGTGTGTATATCTTTTCATATTGGCCATTTTATATTTATTCGTTTTTAAGTTTATTTAATTTTTTTAAGTAATCTCTATACCCAGCATGGGGCTCAAACTCACAACCCCGAGTGAGCATCCTCTTCTGACTGAGCCAGCCACGCACCCCTATATTTGTTCTTTTGCAAACTATCTGTTCATGTCCTTTGCTCATTTTTCTCTGGGGACATTTCTTACTAGTTTGTAGGAGCTCTTGATATATGAATGATAATAATCTATCACATACAGGGTAAACTGTCATTGGTGCTGCAAATTTTTCCCCCAGCCTGTCTTTTTAATTTTGTTTTGTGGGTATGTTAATGTGTAGAAATTAATTTTATGCTGTTGAATCTTTTGATTTCTCTTTTTATGTATGTCCTCAGAAAGACTTTTCCTACCTCAAGATTATATGTTCACCTGTATTTTTCTTAGCTCCATTTAAAACTTTCTGATTTCTATACCTCTCCAGTTATTTCCTACTCTGATTCACAAAGATGTGTGGTTTGGATTTGGTAGGAATTTATTTACCATTTCTTTTATAGCAAAGATTTGTGGAGAAGATGGACAGGTGGATCCCAACTGTTTTGTTCTGGCACAGACCATAGTCTTTAGTGCCATGGAGCAAGAGTAAGTTAATTTCAGACTTTCACATTTTGGGTTTTGGGATTTGGGTTCACTCAAACAAACTATTTTTCAGGACTTAAGTATTTTGAATGTTTACATCTTATAGGCATATCTACGACTACCTTGGTTCATAGTATCTTTTAAATATAAATTATGTGAACTCTTAAAAATAAAACATTTGTTTTTTTTAAATAATTTTTTATTATGTTAATCACCATACATTACATCATTAGTTTTTGAAAAACATTTGTTTTTAATGTTAATATTTCCTAAGTTAAAAGAATTTTTTAAAATTCTGAAGTCATTTGGGGGTGATTGTAACTACAGTTTTACTATTAGAATTTATTTATTTAAGCAATGTATGTGTTCAGGTAGAGATCCTAATTTGTTAGTGTGCGCTTTAAGCTTAATGGATGCTGTATTACTAAATCCACATAAACTTGTTGAAACTGTCTCCAAAGTTGTGGGTTTTGTTGTTTTTTTTTTTTTTTTAGATTAATTACTGCTGCATGCCCTTTAAGGGAAAAAATCTACATATTGATTCATTTAGTATTTATGAAAAGGGTGCTCTGTTCAGGGCATAGTTAGATATAGTAGCTGCTTTGAAGGAAGTTACAGCCTATTAAGAGAAATAGGGTTATGTTCTTTGGTTACATGTAATATGAGGTAGCATGTGTCACATCTCAGAGGAAAGCTACAAAGTTTCTAAGGGTCAGGAGAGGTTACTTCCATGTGTAGGAACCAGGAAGGACAGCATGGGAAGGGAGGTAGTGTGGACCTAGGCTTTTAAGATAGAGTAGGCACAGAATGGAAAGAGTATATTTTTCCCAGTTAAGCTCTTTCCTTGGTCATTCCCTCAAATTTTCCCTTTTTGTCCATGTGCAGGCACTTTAGTGAGTTTCTGCGAAGTCACCATTTCTGTAAATACCAGATTGAAGTGCTGACCAGTGGAACTGTTTACCTGGCTGACATTCTCTTCTGTGAGTCAGCCCTCTTTTATTTCTCTGAGGTAAAGTCTGCATTTCCTTTCACACTCTGTTAGAGCATTCCAGCCTCTAAACTAGAAATGCTGGGGCCCCCTCTATAGAAAATAACATGGAAGAGCCAAATCATTTCCAAAAAGATCAGTTGGAATGAAGTAATTTTTTTATGTTAAGTTGTACATCTAGTGGCAAGAGTACTTTAATGGCATATTAGATTAAAGAGAACATAAAAATTCAGTGTAAAATAACTAATTTTGAAAAAATCAAACTTCTGCTTATAAGAGACTGCATATTTTTAATTATCTAGAGCCATTTTAAAACCGCAGATTTGATCCTTGATTCCAGTGCACACATATTTGCAGACCAGACTTCAGAAGGGAGAAAGAAAAGGAGTAAATTTTTTCCTACTATCATCACTTTTACTTTAGCCACTTGATAGGATTTCTCAAGCAGTGAGTAGATTAATCTCTTTGAGGTGTACTATATAATGGTATTTGTTAGGTTTCGGCAAATGAAATTCTTTTGTTGCAAAGCAAATGACTATTAAGTAGAGAGGTTTTGGCAAATGAAATTCTTTTGTTGCAAAGCAAATGACTATTAAGTAGAGAGGGGAGGATTTCCGGGCTCACAAAGCATTAACTTAGATACACACTTGCACTCTGCCTCTCCCAAGAATAGAGCTTTCCCTTGATTTGCTTTCTCACTCCCTCTCTTTGCCCTACCTACGCGTAAGTCCGCATTTGTTCAGGTTACTGAGGCTGCATGGAGTGATGGAAATGATCAGGTATAAAAGATTTGGTCTGGTTAGTTTACTTTTTGTATGTTAGCTACTGAGGGACCACTAATCATCTTTACTGTGATTCTTATTCCAGTTCACTTAAGTTTGTATCCAGCAATGTGGTGGGGTTTTTGTTAGTTTTTTGGTTTTTTTCCCCTACAAGAATGGCTTTCAACTTTTCAGTCTCAAAAGCAACTGTGAGTTGCTAACTGGCATGAACTGAACAAGTGGATCTGTTTTTGTTTTTGTTTTTTGTGTATGTCTTATATTTTTAATGGTTGGGCTTATGGATTAGAGATGGTTAGAGAAATAATGTTTATAGTCTTTTTTCCTTTTTTTTTTTTTGTATTTTTCCTTCCTAGTACATGGAAAAAGAGGATGCAGTGAATATCTTACAGTTCTGGTTGGCAGCAGATAACTTCCAGTCGCAACTTGCTGCCAAAAAGGGCCAGTATGATGGACAGGAGGCACAGAACGATGCCATGATTTTGTATGACAAGTGAGTTTTATTGATGTATTCAACATCTGGCAAATATTGAGTATTTGATATGTATTTCGGAAATAAAGATGAACAAATCCAGTCTTTGCTGTCAAGGAGCTCACAGGGAGTAGCATAAAAGCCGCTTTTCGTACGGTGTGTATAAGGTTTTAGGATTCTTAGAACAAACGTTTCTTTTGGGGGAACGGGAGATTTGTGTGTGGCAAGAAGGATGACGGTGGTGGAGTTCAGGGAGGGTTTCACAGAAGAAAGATTTGAATTGGATCCTGAATAATGAATTTTGCTAGCCAGAGAAGGCGGGAAAGAACATTCTAGACAGAGGCATTGACACAAGCAAAGTCAGAGAAACTTAGGGGAATGTGGCACTTTCAGGAAACTTGAGTTTGGGTAAGTAAAACTTGGGTAGGGAATGTAAGAGGAAGATGAAACTAAAGGGAATATATTGAAAAGGGTCTTAGATATCTGTGTATGGGTGTATCATATTTCTGGTGCAGATCTGCATGGCCAGTACTCAATGAATAATAGTTTTTCATTGGTCTTCATTGAAAATGAGAGGATGGCAAAATCTTACAGTGAACAGAACTGAAAACATCTGGTCAGTTGAGTGATAAGCCCATGGCCAGCTGTGCCACTCTTTTAATTTTCATTTAATTTTTCTTATTCTGTAAAGAAAAGTAATGTGCTATCTGTATCCACAAGCAACCGCTGAGAAGATGACAGTAGAGGAAAATCCATGGGATGTTAGGGTTGCAAGAGAGCTGAGCGCATCTGGGTCAGTGGTTCCTGAACATTGCTCTGCAGGTCTGTGCTGGGCTGTCTGTGTAAGAACCAGATGGGAGCTTGTTAAAAATAGGTTTCCAGCCCTCCACTCTAAGGGATTCTGATTCAGCATATTTGAGGCATGACCCAGGAATCTTTATTTTTAGAAGATACCCCAAATGATGCTGATGGGTAGCCAGATTCGGGATCTAGTCTGATTTTCCCATTTTGCAGATAAGAAAACAAAGACCCGTTCTCTCAAAGTCACAGGGCAAGTTAGTGGCAGAACTTGAGCTGGAATGCAATTCTCAATGTTTGCCCAGTGTTTATTTTAGTATAATATATTTGTGGAAAATATTATATAAGAAACATTGTTACATGGATGTTGAAATAGCAAGTGTTTACATTTAGAAATTTGGCGTGGGGTGCCCCAAAATTCCAATCATGGAGGAGTATTTACCAACTTATTTGTTAACAAGATGGGAGACTATTTGTTAAGAAAAGGCTAATAACAAAAAAATATTTTTTTTTATTTTAATGCTGGAACAGAAGAGTGGCACTAGTAGTAAGGTCCTGGCTGGAGCTCAGTTGCCACACAGAGCAGAGACCCTGTTGTCCCACTGGATCCCATTTTCACATTGGGAGCCATTTTTAGATGAAGATCACTGTATGGCATCCCACTGGCACTGTCATTTTGTCAAGTTCATTGTGCCAAATTTGACTTCACCGATGCCAGTTTGGGGGTTTTTTAAAAGATTGATTGATTGATTGATTGATTGATTTTTATTTATTTATTTATTTATTGAGAGAGAGAGTGCATGAGGCAGGGGAGGGGCAGAGGGAGAGGGAGAGAATCGAGAATCTCAAGCAGATTCCCTGCTGAACATGGAGCCCGACACAGGGTTCCATCTCATGACCCTAAGATCAGGACCTGAGCTGAAATCAAGAGTTGGACGCTCAACTGACTGAGCCACCCAGGCCCCCCCATCCCTGTTTGTTTTTATATCTTATGTATGTTATGTATGTATCATCACAATTATACCTAATCAGTCTTTCTGTATTTGTATCATAGACAAGATTTAGAAGTCCCTAGAATGCTTGGAAGAGAACATACATATATTTTTTGCTTTTAATCCTCCTTTCTTTGTGATCCACTTTATAATCAGCTTACCAAAACACTAGTTTTGCATTATAGCTTATGAAGTTAGAAATCTGAGGTAGCATTGATTACTCCTTTTCCTTTCTACACCCAATCTTCATCAAGTCCTATTATTCTATCCAAATACATGAAATCCATCTACTTCACCCTCGGTGCTATTGTATTTTAAGTTCCTGCATGTGTATTACCTGTACCTCATAGTTACAGCTATTTGTTCTCATTGTATCTGATACAGGGATCTTTTCTGTTCCCTTTCCAGGGGAAAGAACTGTGTCTTACCCTCTTTTAAGTCTATTTCTGTCTCCCAAGTGCTGAACAGAGAATAGGTGCCCATTAAATATGTGTGACTGATTGATTTGTCTCAGTTGTAGCCTGACCCTCAGCAATCTTAAGAACTAAGGAAGATGGAAGGAGCTAGGAAGGTAGCGAGTTGACTCAGATACCTTTGGGGCTATGGGAATAAAGGTTGCAGCACGGCCTCTAGGAGCCGGCTCTCAAGTCCTAGATCTGCAGGCTGAATCAAGTAGCCTCGTAGAAGAGTAGGTGCCAGAAGTTGCTTATACTGGCTAGGAGGTTTGGTTTGACTTTGGCTGTCTTGTTACCATAGGTACTTCTCCCTCCAAGCCACACATCCTCTTGGATTTGATGATGTTGTGCGATTAGAAATTGAATCCAATATCTGCAGGGAAGGTGGGCCACTCCCTAACTGTTTCACAACTCCATTACGTCAGGCCTGGACGACCATGGAGAAGGTAACCAAGAACTTCAAAAATATTAAACTGCAAGAAGTCTTTACTGGTGAAACCCAGAAAACATAACACGGGGGAAAAAAATGTAACAAAACTGGAAAATTGAAGCAGTGGAGCATAGTGATTAAGAGCAGAGGCTTTCAGTCTGACTTGGTATGTATTAATTTAGCCTTTATAGGCTGAATGACCTCAGGCACTTACTGAAATTCTTTAATGCCATTTTCCACATCTGTAAAATGGAGATAATATGGATACTTACCTAAAAGTTATTTTAAAGATAAAAATGAGGTAAGATGTATAAAGTTCTTATTATTAGCATTGCATCCATCACATAGTAAGCATTAAAAAATTTTAACGGCTGTTTTTACCACTGTTATTAATAATTTTCAAAAATAATTAGATAGCAGTATTGGGCAAAGTTAGCTTAAAATGACCCAAACATTTCATCAGTATCTATCAATGGGGTTAGAACACTAGTTTTGTGTATCATAACTTCGGGGGTATCACTAATAGCTTATTAATAATAATGTGTTAGAATTTGTGAATGATTTATTCTTCTAATGAACTAGAGCAAATATTACCAGGAATTGCACAGAGTGCAGGATAAGTCCATGAGGTTATGTCGTTTATATATGTCATGTGTTTCTAGGTGGAAAAGGGTTAAGTAAGCACTATTAAATAATATTCCACATAAGAACTGAATTTCAGGAACATGGAAGAGTTACATATAAAAATCAAATCATTAAAAAGCTCATGGTAAGCTGAATAGAGTATCAGCTATTGCCCAGGGATAAAAATTTTTTCATGATTAAAATTAAAATCTTTCTGATCTTAAATTAAGAGAAGTTCCAAATCTGTATCATATAAAGAATGTAAACTTTCTGGATAAAAAAGAAAATGAAAATACAGAAAGAAACAATGTAAATATTTCTTATAAAATGTGTATAGGTAAAGAACTTAGTAATTTTAATAGTATCAAGTAGATAAATGAGAAAAAGACATGGATGATCAGTACTTTTGAGAATTTCTGTGCTAGGTATTGGTGTTATAGTGGTAAACAGGAGAAACGTGGTTTCTGCCCTGCTGGAGCTCTGTCTATAAAGAAGGAACATGTTTAACAACACATACTATTTACAGTCATGTGCTAACTGCTGTGAAGGAAAAGTTGGTAATAGGAAATGCCAGTAATAAACATGGGAACTTATTCAGCATCATTAGTAATTTTTAAATGGAAATAAAAACATCCATATATCATTAGGCTCTTTTTTAAAAAGATTTTATTTGAGAGAGAGAGAGAATGAGAAAGCATAACAGAGGAGAGGATCAGAGGGAGAAGCAGACTCCCCGCCAAGCAGGGAGCCCGATGCAGAACGTGATCCGGGTATTCCAGGATCATGACCTGAGCCGAAGGCGGTCACTTAACCAACTGAGCCACCCAATAGGCACTTACTTAACAATGATTTGGAAAAACACACTCTGGTGTTGGAAAGCCTGTGTCAAAACAGATACCTTAGTATACTGCAAATGATACAAATTGACAACGTCCTTCTGAAGAGTAAATTTGCCATATATATCAAAGCTAAAATGTTCACACCGTTTAACTCAATAATCACACACCTGGTAATTTATCTTAAGGAAATCAGTTCAGAAGTAAAAAAATCACTATATGCACAAAGACTTTAATATTTATAACCAGAAAAATCTAATTTCAGATTAGACTCACTCCCTGCATGTTTTCTGGTCACTAAGAAGTCTAAATATCAAGTCTATGTGATAATTTTATGGCAAGCATTGGCGGGGAGGGGGACACACCTATAAATTGTACTCAGAATTTTAGTCACAACATGAACTGTACACGAAGGGTTAATACTTGGAGTATAACAAGGAAAAGCAGAATCATTTGTGCTAGCTGGTAGAATTGTGCATAAAATTTTGTTTTCAAATAAAGTTTTAATTGTATTTGATCTCACCTTTAAAATAATGCTTATCCTCTCTTTCAGGTCTTTTTGCCTGGCTTCTTGTCCAGCAATCTTTATTATAAGTATTTGAATGATCTCATCCATTCGGTTCGAGGAGATGAATTTCTGGGAGGAAATGTTTCACTGACTGCTCATTGCTCTGTTGGCCCTCCTGATGACTCTCACCCAGGTGGTTCCGACAGCTCGGCTGCTCAGGTATAAATCAGTTAGCCTCTGCCAATTGGAAGAAAGGTGTACAGTAGATCCTTTCCTTCAAATACCAATAGCAGAGTCTGTTTGGAAGTTTTTGTTGTAGAGGAAACAAAGAAGAAAATACAATTAGCCTACTTACTATATGTTTTAATAAAAATACCTGTAGTGAACAGTATATTATATTGTAAGGTATTGTACTGTTTCATTCAGGCCATGTTTCTGCCTGACACTCCAGCTACTGCTATCAGTCATCAATAATAGCACATGCATTTATAGCCTCTGAAGAGCTCTTTGTGTAATTATTTGGGAAATTTTAGTCACTACATTTGGGATGCTTTTTTATAGAATAATTCTTTTTCTTTTTTTAAGATTTATTTATTTATTTTAGAGAGAGAGAAAGAGCGCCTGAGCATGAGTGGGAGGGACAGAGTGAGACAGAGACAGAAAGGGAGAGAGAACCCCAAGCAGACTCCATACTGAGCGCAGCAGGCTTGATCTCACTTCCCTGAGGTCATGACCTGAGCTGAAACCAAGAGTCGGATGCTTAACCGACTGTGCCACCCAGGCGCCCCTAGAATAATTTTTTTTTTAAGACTTTATTTATTTATTTGAGAGAGAGAGAAAGAGAGAGAGCACATGAGAGGGGGGAGGGTCAGAGGGCGAAGCAGACTCCCTGCCGAGCAGGGAGCCCGATGCGGGACTCGATCCAGGGATTCCAGGATCATGACCTGAGCCGAAGGCAGTCGCTAACCAACTGAGCCACCCAGGTGCCCAACCCCTAAAATAATTCTTAATAATTCTTTCTTAATAATTGTATTTCACCAAAGAGTTTTTGGTTTCATTTTGAACTGTAGTGCCATTGTATATTTTCTTAATCTTTTTTGGTTTTTTGGAGTGCTTTCGTGTATCAAACCTTATCTGATTCTCCCCCAAATTGGGTCATTTAAATGGGTTGTCCCCGAGAGAAGAGATCTAGGAAGGTATTAAGAAGTTAACTAATTTTATTAAAAATCACACAGTAAGTGTAGAGGCAGAACATATTCCCTGTCTAGTGTTCTTCACCATAACGTAGCATAATTATTTTCTCAAAGTACTGTTGACACATAAATAATACTTCAGATTTTTTGACACAGGGCTTTGGATAAATTTCCTTAATTTATACAACAGTACTATTTATTACCATCAACAAGACTCTCCTTAATACGTTTTCCTCCTATTTAGCTTATGTAGCAGGTGACCTGCTGAATGTGGTTGCAATTTTGTTTTTTGATATAGGCTAGAATGTCTTGTTGTTATTTAAGCACTTCAAAGGTCTAGGTGCTGATCTTAAAACATATTTTTACATTTTCGGTTGAAGTTTAATATATATACGGAAAACTCAGTATATGTAGTGTGAAGAACTTTCATAAACAGACTTGGTCTGTGTACCCAGCATTCAGATCAAAAAATATAACATTACCAGTGTGTTGTGAACCGTCTGTGCTCCCTTCCAGTCACCGTCCTCCCTGCCAGGAGAGCCACTGTCCTGACTTTTGGTGGTATAGGTTAGTGTTACCTATATTCGGAATAGTTATAGAACTGAAATCATCCTGTATATGCTTTTTTCCTTCTTTCTTTTTGGTACAACTTTATTGATATATAATTCACATACCATACAATTCCCCCATTTATGTTGTATAATTTAGTGGTTTTAGTATATTCATAGAGTTCCTTAACTGTCACCACAGCCAATTTAAAAAGTTCTTCACCTAAGAAGGAAACCCTGTGTCCTTTAACTAATACCCTCCAAATCCTCCAATTCTTCCAGCCCTAGGCTACTACTAATCTACTTTCTGTCTCCATAGATTTGCCTATTGTTGTGTGGTTTCGAGATGGGTGGTTTCGAGACAGGCTTCTTTAACTTAGCGTGCTGTTTTCAAGGTTCATCCATGTTTAGCATGTATCAGAACTTTATTCCTTTTTTATTTTTGTTGTTGGTTTAAAAAAAATTATTTATTTTAGAGAGAGAGACAGCATGAGCCGGGGGAGGGGCAGAGGGAGAGGGAGAAGCAGACTCCCTGCTGAGCAGGGAGCTTGACGCTAGGCCCGGTCCTAGGATCCTGAGATCATGACCTGAGCCAAAATCAAGAGTCCGACGCTCAGGGGGCACCTGGGTGGCTCAGTCATTAAGCATCTGCCTTCGGCTCAGGTCATGATCCCAGGGTGCTGGCATCAAGCCCCACCTTGGGCTCCCTCCTCTACCGGAAGCCTGCTTCTCCCTCTCCCACCCCCCCTGCTTGTGTTCCCTTTCTCACTGTGTCTAAAAAAAAAAAAAAAAAAAAAATCCGACGCTCAACTGACTGAGCCACCCAGGCACCCCACAACTTTATTCCTTTTTATGGCCAAATAATATTCCATTGTACATACCACATTTTGTTAATCCATCAGTTGATGGACATTTGGGTTGTTTCTCTCTTTTGGTTATTATGAATAATGCTGCTGTACAAGTTTTTGTGTGGATATAGGTTTTCATTTCCCTTGTGTATATACCTAGAAGTAGAATTGTTAGCTCAGATGATAACTGTTTAACTCTGTCTTAGTTACCTTTGCTTGGGTAACAAGTTTTGAAATCAGGAAGGAAGGGAGAGTCTTCCAACTTAGTTCTTCTTTTTCAAGATTGTTTTGACTATTCGAGGTCCCTTGAGTTTTCAAATGCATTTAAGGATCAGTTTGTCAACTTCTATGAAGACTCCAGCCAGGATTCTGATAGGGAGTGCATTGGTTCCATAGATCAATTTGGGACAAATTGCCATCTTAACAATATTAAATATTCTGACCCATGAACATAGATGATGCCTTTCATTTATTCAGATCTTCTTTAATTTCTTCCAGTAACATTTTGTAGTTTTCAAGTATCAGTTCTGTATTTCTTAAATTTGTTCTAAGTATTTTATTCTTTTTGATACTATTGTAAATGGAATTTTTTTCTTATGCTCATATTTTCATTGTAAACATATAGAAATACAGTTTTTTGTAATTGCGGTAAAATTCACCTAACATAAAGTTAGCTGTTATAAGTGTCTAATTCAGTGACATTTAGTATATTCATAGTGTTGTGCAGCCATTACCACTATCTGGTTCCAGACTTTTTCATCACCCCAAGTGGAAACCTCGCAAATGGAACATTAAGCAGTCACTCCCCATGCCCACCTGTGTTTTCTTCTAAGAGTTTTAGGCCTTTGATCCATTTTTAGTTTTGCATGTTATATGAGGTAAGGGCCAACTTTATTTTTTCCATGTGGATATCTAGTTGTCCCAGGACCATTTATTGACAAAACTATTCTTCTACGTAAATTGAATGATCTTGGCATCTTTGTCAAAAATCATTTGCTCTTAGATACACCGGTTTATTTCTGGACTCTCAGTTCTTTGTTGATCTACGTGTATCTTATGCCAGTACTACATTGTTTTGATTACTACAGCTTTGCAAATTTTGAAATCAGAAACTGTGTGTCCTCCAACTTTGTGTTTTTCAATTTGTAAGATTATTTTGGCTATTCTGGGTCCCTTGCAATTCCATAAGATTTCTAGGATTGGGTTTACATTGAATATGTAGATTCCTTTGGGATGTATTGCCATTTTAACAATATTAAGTCTTTTTCCAGTCCATGGACACGGGATATCATCCCATTATTTAAGCTGTCTTTAATTTCTTTCATCACTGTTTTGTAGGTTTACAGTGTACAAGTCTTATATGTCCTTGCGTCATTTTTTTCCTGAATATTCTTGTTGATATTATAAATAAAATTTTAATTTCATTTTCTTATTCATTGGTAATGCATAGAAATAAACTTTTTGTGTTGACCTTGTAACTATACGAAATTCTTTTGTTAACTCTAATAGTTTTCTTGTGGATACTTTTTTTTTTTTTAATTTTAATTTATTTGAGAGAAAGAGTGAGTGAGAGAGAGAGCACAAGCCAAGGGGGAGAGGCAGTGGGAGAAGCAGACTTCCCGCTGAGCAGGGAGCCCAATGTGGGACCCAATCCCAGGACCCTGGGACCATTACCTGAGCCAAAGGCAGAAGCTTAACCAACTGAGCCACGCAGGCGCTCCTTTCTTGTGGATTCTTTAGAATTTTCTATATATAAGATTGTGTCATCGGTTAATAGAAATAGTTTTCTTTCTACCTGTCCACTTTGAATGTACCTTTTATTTCCTTGTCTTGCCTAATTGGCTTAAACTTGCAGTACATTGTTGAATGGAAGTGATGAAAGTGGGCATCTTTGTTTTATTCCTGACCTCATGAGGAAAGCTTTCAGTTTTTCATCTTTTAATATGATGTTACATATGGGTTTTTCATAAATGCTTTTTATCAAGTTGAGGAAATTTCCATTTCTAATTTGTTGGATTTTTTTTTTTTTTTGATCATGAAAGGGTGTTGGATTTTGTCAAATGTTCTTTCTGTATCAATTGAGATGGTCATGTGGGTTTTGGTCTTTATTGATAACAGTTGTACTACATTATTTGATTATCAGGTGTTAAACCAACCTTGCATTTCTGGGATAACTCTCACTTGATCATGATATATAATTATTTTTATATGTTGCTAGATTTGTTTGCTGGTATTTTATTAGGATCTATACTTAGAAGAGATTGACCTTTAGTTTTCTTTTCTTATGATGTCCAGTTTTGGTATCTGAGTTAACAGTGGCCTCAAAGAAGTGTTCTGTCTTATTTTTTTTTAAGATTTTATTTATTTATTTGACAGAGAGAGACACAGCGACAGAGGGAACACAAGTAGGGGAGTGGGAGAGGGAGAAGCAGGCTTCCCGCCGAGCAGGGAGCCCGATGTGGGGCTCGAGCCCAGGACCCTGGGATCATGACCTGAGCCGAAGGCAGATGCTTAACAACTGAGCCACCCAGGCGCCCCTGCCTTTTTCTTTTTAATTATCTACCCTTCTTGGCACATAAAGAGAACCCCTCCCCCTTCCCACCCACTGTAGAGTATGTTCTATAAGTGTCTATTCAATTCTTATTTTATTAATTTAACCTATACCTTAGTCATGGATATTAAGGACGGTTCCTATCTTTTGTTATTTTAAACAATGCTACAGTGAATAATAATCTTGTATATTAGTCATTTTGTGGAACTGAGTCTGTCTGTAATTTAATTTTTAGAGGTGGAATATCTGGGAAAACCCGTGGCTCCGGTATTTCATAGAAATACCAATTCTGACTTGCTTTTTTTGTGGGATGAGGAGTGGGAGATGACATGCTGGAGGGGAACTTACTGCACTCATCTAGCTGGTCATTTTAGAAAGATTTCTTTGGCTTCTCCTTTGTCACATAGCCTCACTGAAAATCAAAAGTATTCATGTTTATTTGTAAAAGGTAGCTAAGCTATATATGTCTGGGTGGATGAGAGTCTTGCACACTTGGGAATGTAATGCCTGTGAAGATAGCACGTTTGTTGGAACTTAGATCATAAAGAAAACAGATGTGGCATTAAATGCATATGTTGTACATTGTAATACTGTGCTTTCCTCCCGTAGTTGTATATTGAGGTTACATTTCAGAATCGTTGCTGTTCAGCATCTCCATAATGATGGGGTTGAGTGAGAATTACATGTATTTCAGATACTGAAGATTTTGTACAAATCCATCATAATCCAAACCTGGGACTGTTTGATTCCCGAATAACATACTGTTAATTTTACAATTTGTGTTGCAGTCCAGTATGAAAAAAACCAGTGTTAAAATTCTGAAAAATTTTGATGAAGCGATAATTGTGGATGCTGCGAGTCTGGATCCAGAATCTTTGTATCAGCGGACATACGCAGGGTAAGTTTAACTAGTATCTGGAATTTTTACAAGTCTACTGAATTTTGCATCTTTTATGTTTTTATTTAAAATTTAAAAATTGTTTCTAATCTACTGTTACATACCCAGCACTTTTTTTTTTTTTTAAGATTTTATTTATTTATTCATGAGAGACAGAGGGAGAGAGAGAGGGAGAGAGAAAGAGAGAGAGAAGCAGAGGGAGAAGCAAGCTCCCAAGGAGCAGGGAGCCCGATGCGGGACTCGATCCCAGGACCCTGGGACCATGACCTGAGCCGCAGGCAGACACTTAACCATCTGAGCCACCCAGGCGCCCCCATACCCAGCACTTTTATATATAATATACAGTAGACCACAATTGAGAGTGGAGGCTCGGGAGCAACTTCCTCGGTTTTAATCTTGGCTTAGCCACTTACTGGCAAACTGTCTCGGTGTTTTCATCTCCACTTCATTGGGTTGTTTAGGGGATTAAATGAGGTACAATATTAAATATTCTGACCCATGAACATAGTTTTTTGTATTCAAAACCATGCCGGGTATCTAGTAAACACTCCATAAATATCATTACCATCATCATTCCACCACACTAGACAAGGTTGATGAGTATCATATGTATGTGATATGTTTTAGGTTATATCTCTTCCCATATTTCATTTGGTTCATATGTTAGCTATTTCAAAGTCTGTCTCAAAACCATAAATAAAAATAAAGTACAAAGATGCCAGCATCATTTATTACGGACTGTATAACAAATACTTGAAAATGGAATAAAATTATTTCTTTGTATTTAAGGATTGGATGTTTATTTTATCCTGTAACAAAAAGACATCAGTTCATAGCATATGCCACTTGCCAATGTTTACCACAGATCAAATCATAAAATCACTTCCTCTTTCCTAAAGATGGCTTGATGAGCCTATAAATCTGTGTAAATTCTTGATTACCCTACCCCAACCCCAACCGCAGTCCTGGCATCACCATAAAAAAGGGATTTCAACATGTTTAATTGATTTTGTCAGAAAGTAACAGTGATACTTGGGAGACCGAGGAATCCTGGAAAGCACTCAGCAGTAAATATAGGGCTGTTTGACTACGTTGTCTTCAAAAAGCACATTGCAGCTGAGTCAGTGTTGTAATCTTTAGCTTGTCTTTTAGGAAATGGTGGACAGTAAGCCTACATGATTTAATTACCAAAGATTATATTTATTAGGGAATCATTGGTTCATTTACTTAAAACCTTACTTAAGACAGTCTGTCAGTTGCAAAATGTTTTACTTCTGTAAGTTTTTTTTGTGTGTAAAATAAATATAACAGATGATGTATAAAATGGGTCAGAAAGGGCGCCTGGGTGACTCAGTTGGTTAAGCGACTGCCTTCGGCTCAGGTCATGATCCTGGAGTCCCAGGATCGAGTCCCACATCGGGCTCCCTGCTCAGCGGGGAGTCTGCTTCTCCCTCTGACCCTCTCTCCTCTCATGCTCTCTCTCTCACTCTCTCTCTCTCAAATAAATAAAACATTAAAAAAAATAAGATAAAATAAAATGGGTCAGAAATAGAGAAATGTTTAAAGATAGTTTTCAGTGTTTGTTTTAGCTTTATGGTTTTGGCATCTTCCTGAAATTTTTCTCAAGGCAGACAAATTTGTATCCATTGGTGTATTGCAACCACATGTGAAATGATGACTTACTAGGAACAATAGCCCTAAAATAAGATCCACTGTGCCCAAAGTGAAATAATACATAGGCATCACAGAGTTTCTTTTTCTACCTAACTTTTAATTACAAATACATTAATCTCTTATAAAAATTAAATTGATAGATAAGGCTAATGTCCCCTTTGGTCACACACCAGTGCTCATTCTCTCCCCTTCCTACTCAGGATAATCACTGTTACGTTATAGTATGTATTTTTGTTTGCTTATATTTGTGTAATTGATACCATACTTTATTCGGTATCTTGTGCTTTCATTCACAATGAGTTTTGGAGATTTTTCTTTGTTAGTCTGTACAGATGTACGTCATTTTAACTATGTTGTAGTATTCTATATATAATATTAATTATAGCTCATAACCGTGACCACTATTTGGCCCTTTGGTATTGATGAGTATTTAAGTTGCTTGCAGTTTTTCACTGTTACACAAAGAATAGTAAAAGACTTCCTTTTATTCACTTATGCCAAGAAGCAGATTTTAAATTTTAATAGATCTTACCGATTTACCTTTAAAAGTATCTGTATATTTTGCATTCTTACCCCCATTAATAAGGATACTAATTTTCCCCACATCTTTATTGACACTAAATAACCTCAAATGTTTGATTTTTTACCAATCTGGACTACTGCTCATGAGATTAAGCTTCTTTTGGCATTTTGCTGGTTGTTCAGGTTTTTCTTTATGAATTGACTATTCATCTCCTATTTATGTTTTTCTGTTGTATGATTTCTTAGTGACTTGTTGGAATTCTGTATGTTTTTTAATATTTATTATTGATGAGTAATATCTTAAATAAGATCTTTCACTGTGTTCTTTGCCTTTTAGCTTTTTTATATTGCTATAGCTTTATAGCGTGTTTAATTATTATATATAATTACTCTAGCTTTATAATACACATTTTGATCTAGGGCAGGTTCCTGCCTTTTTATCTCTTTTATAAAATTATCTTGGCTATTTTTGTGCCTTTTCCCTTCTGTGTAAATTTTACAATTGTGAGCTGTCTCTTCACCCATCATGTTTCATAAACCTTTTTGGGATTATGAATGGAATTACATTGAATTAAAGATTGTCTTGCTTCTTTGGGGGACAGTTCTATTTGAAATAAGCCTTGCTTTGAATAACATGAGCTAGCTATACATTGTATTTCTAGCTTCTAGATTTAGATGAGATGCTTAAGAATGGAATTTTTCTTTCCTTGTTTGGGGGGGCGATTTTTCTTTCCTTAATTTAAAATTGGTTGTTAGAAATTATGTTCTTTTTGTACTTATTTAGGAAGATGACATTTGGAAGAGTAAGTGACTTGGGGCAATTCATCCGAGAATCTGAGCCTGAACCTGATGTAAAGAAATCAAAAGGTTTGTGGTGTTTTATACTCCATGTTAAGCCTTCACTCACATTAGTCATTGACTGTAAGTGAAGGATCATTTAAGATTTAAACAGTTTATTTTATGAAATAACTGCCTTATCTCTCACTTGTGTTGATATCACAACTGAGTCCAAGGGCTACTTGTAGTTGCGTCTGTATGCAGTCTGTCTGAATGAAAGTTAGTGAACTTGCTTTACCATTACAGAAAGCACATCTTTATGAAAGAATGTTTGTCACCTTTCTATTAAAGATGATGAATACCCAGCCCAGGTTGGACTTAGCGTTTATCTTGAAACCCTTTAGTTCATTAAATTTCCTCTAATTTGCTAAAAGTTATTATGAAATATTTGTGGAAAATATTAACAGTTTGAAATTCAAATCCTTTGTTTAATTAGCAGGAGAGTGCTCAGTCAACTGCAAGAGTTAAACATATAAGTCTTTTTTGACAAGAACGTTATTTGTGACTGATCTCAACTTCCAAACAATTGGTCTACACAGGAAGATTTTGGAAACCAATGCGGATCCATTCATTTGGGATCTAGAAATTTTTCAGTGTGATTGGATTGACAGTATTGTCTTGAGTAAAAGATACTAACTTTTGTAAGAAGAAAATGCTCCAGGGGCACCTGGGTGGCTCAGTCGGTTAAGCATCTGCCTTTGGCTCAGGTCATGATCTCAGGGTCCTGGCATCAACCCTCACGTTAGGTTCCCTGCTCAGCGGGGAGTCTGCTGCTCCCTCTTCTTCTGCCCCTCCCCCCCCACTTGTCTTCATGTACTCTTGCTCTCAAATAAATGAAATCTTTAAAAAATTTTTTTAGAGAACAAAATGTTTTGTTTTGATAAGTGTGTTTAAAATTAAGAGCTATTGTTAATCTTCCTACTAAATTTAGTAGGACTGCATTCCTATTATGTGTATTTTTAAGGTTTTTTTTTTTTTTAAGCAAACTCTACGTGGGCTCAAACTCATGACCCCAGGATCAGGAGTTGCATGCTCCTCTACTGACTGAGCCAGCCAGGTGCCTCATATTATTTTTATTTTTTAATGCAACTATTGTTTGAGTAATGAATCACACTACTTTATGTTGATGAGCAGTCTGTTTTTGGGTCAGATATACATTGACAGAGTAAGCAAAAAGTGCAACAATTGTTGAAATAATTTAGACCAAAAAAGGGCCTGTTACCTACTTCACCTTATTAGTTTATTTAAGTAATTGATTTTATTTCCTGTTTTGTCAGAGAAGTCTGAAGTACATGGTCAGGAAAGCTTAAAGACTGAAAGAAGTCTACACAGTTCATTCAGTAAATAATTTCTTAGTGCCTCTGTGCACTCATATTCACTGGGTGGATTAGAAGATACAGATCCTGCCATTAAGAAACTTAGAGTCTAGTAGCGTCTTTTATTGTGTAAAACATGAATAGGAGGAAGAGGTTACTGGTAGCCTTGGAGCAGAGGAAGTGCTAGACAAGCTCTGTGGGGGATTGGCCAGGAAGGGCTCTACATCGTCCTCAGGTAGCTTCTGTCGGGACAGTGACATCTCCAGTATTAAGAGAACCTCTGAGCTCATTAGTTTTTTAAAAAGCTGGTCTTATTCCTCTGACATCTCATGAAGAAGTGCTGCTGCTCTAGAGTATAGGTGTGGGTGCTTGCAGGGTTTTGTTTTTTTTATATATAGGAATTAAGATATGTAGTTAGTAGCTAAAGATAAACAAGAAACTTGTTTCCGCAAACACTATCTCTGCTTATTGTTTATTCAGTCTCTTCATATTACTTATTTATTCTAAAATATGAGTGCCTGCTCTATCCATCTACGGTTCTAAATTCTGAGAAGAAAATGAAATTTCTAGCTCTTGTGGAGCTCACATTATAGTGGAAGGGACAGTAAACAGATAAATACTCTGTGTGTGTATGTGTTTATATATAAAAACATAAGAATAGTAGGGAGTTCTTTTTTTTATTATTACTATGTTAATCACCATACATTACATCATTAGTTTTTGATGTAGTGTTCCATGATTCATTGTTTGCGTATAACACCCAGTGCTCCATGCAGAA